TTGCATGCTATCCTACGCAGGGTCGTTTTAGAAATGGGCTGTGATGGTGCAAAACTTGGGAAAAAAAAAAAAAAAAAAAAAGCATTCTCAGGTATTGTTATGCCCCCAATCACGGTGACCCTAGATTTTCTTGGTGCATTATCAACCCCATTTTGACTATTATCAGAAACGTAAGGAATTCGTTTGCGGTTGTTTCTTGAAGCTGAGACGTGTGAATTGCCCAAAAGGTTTTCAAATTTCCGTTGTAAGGTTATTATGGCATTAGATCTAATAAAATCGCATATCAATATTGACCCACCAACTATCCTCCTCCAAAGGCGATCCTCCAAATGCAAAGCGCAAAAATGTTCCTTCGTTGCACACTTCTTCACTTCAACCAGAGAGCAGCCAACAAGTACGAGGCATCGAAATGGAACTACTTCGAGCTGCACTACGAAGCAAGCAGAACGAGATGTTTGCCAGAATGAAGAATATACCTGATCTCGTGTAACAATTGCGGAGATGAATATATTGGCGAAACGGGCAGACCTTTGTGTATCCGTATAAAAGAACACCTAGATGGCAAACGAAAACTAAGACAAAGCACCCCACTAGGCACGCATAGGATACAAAAGCATAGTGGAGACGATTTTGAAGTAAAAGTCAATATCCTCGCACAGGAGTCCAAAACACCAGCGCGAAAACTAGAGGCTTTTTGGATCAATGCTAAAAACCCTACAATGAATAACAGGGACGAATGCCCGGAGGTCATACGCGACCTGATCCCGTACGTTCGCATCGATTTTTGATGTGCGATGGTGCAGTCGTCAACCACATGCGACTATAATCAGCTGTCCTAAACTTCCTCATTGGAAGTCACGAAAAAGCGGTGGGTTTTTCGAGAAGTTGTTGATCGTGTAATTACCAAGGAGTTTTTCGTCTTTTTGTAAGTGTTATTGAGGCGTTTGGCCTAGTAGATTGTATATCAGCATGCCCTTCCAGGCTCTGAAGAAGGCGATACTGCAGAAACGTCAGCTAGCGTTGTATTGTACTGTGTTTTTCTATGGAAGTAAATGCATGCTGTTTAACAACCTCGCGAATGCTGAACAAGAAATCGACGCATCCACATTCCTATGCCGAGGTTAATAGAAAGTCGATCCTGGGACTCTCAGCATTATATTAGTTATTTCTTATTATATTTTTCATTACTATTTGCGCCGAGCGCCACCTGAAAAATAGTAGTCCGCTTTTTCTATTTGATAAGAAACAAGAGTTTGCCGTTGATCAGTTCCTTAGATCCTCTAGGGATATACCATGTATTCGAAACCACCGAGCATCGTAGGAGTGGTTAAATACATATTTGCCTTACATAATTATTGGTGCGGCCTAAACATAGTGTTTTAATCCTCCCAGAGAATTCCGGTGACGACCTTCTGACCCGTGCATTTGAGTCATAGTAAAGGTATAAACGTTTTAAGCAACCCAAGATTCAAAACCGTAGATTTCCCAGACCACGAAGTCTGTACGTATATGTTGCCTTCAGATAATTGGAAAATGCGAAATGAATTCTATTGCGTTTGAGTTCACCGTAAAATTTCTATTGTTTAATTGTTACGATTTTTAAGTCTCTTTGCTCTCATCCTCTCACTGATTTGCTGGGGCGACTGAACCACGTTGCAATCGCCACACCAGATTTGACGAAAGCTTCTCAATTCTATGAGAACCTCGGTGCGAAAGTTAGCAAACCAGTGGTGAGCATTCCATTTTTTCTACAAACGCTGAAAAAATGAGATTGTTTTCTCCTAACGAAGTTTATAAGATAATTTTTTGTCATTCCGTTACTTCGTTATGTTTGCTTTTTAGTTGAGTTTTGGGATAAATGTGGGTGAACTTCGGAGATACAGACTGATTTCTGGAGAGCTAAGCAACTACAATATTGAATGGAACAGATAATTCATACGTAGCTCATTGCAATCTTTTATGCACTGCTTACCCCGTTCGCGACATTATGAACACTACAGTATCCAAAAGGATGCTGAGATATTTGCGAAACTCCGTACCGCTGATGTCTGCGGTGGGGACCGAACTCGCTATTACCATTTCAGGTAGCTAACGCGTTCATCACCACACCGTGCGAGTCCTTCATTTCGCCTTTCTCTAGACCGTGTAATCGACATATAGGTTAACAAATTACGCTGGATGCAGGACATAATTCCCTTCTATTAAAAAAGAATAGGCAGAACATGAAAAGTGACGTCTACAGTGTTCTTTTTCACTTCGCTGGCTTCCAGAACTTGTGTTCACTATATCCACACTATGTACATTCTTTCGATAGATAATGGAAAGCAGATCGAAATAGGAAGGGTAAGGCCTGTTCTGTTCACATAATAATTTCTAAGAAAATTTGGATATCAATGAACTGTTATTTCATTCTTATTACCATGATTTTTTACGGAATACAAGGGTGTAAAAATATCGAACTAAGCTCAAAACGAACTTCGAAATACTTCCAAATACTTAAAACAGTATGTTCCTACGATGGGTCATAGTAAACATATTAAATAGTAGCATGTTTACCATCAATGCCCATGAAACGGTAGAGTGAGCTCTGTTCTATAATTCTGTTGTGTTCTCAACCGCTTTTGTCCTCAAGCTGAGGAGATTGGGCTAATGACGAGGTTACAGATGTGAAGTTTCGCCAAGTGATAGCCTTCCTTTGTTAAAATTTTATTCGTTTGTTTTGTTGCCTCAGTGTTATAACTACTACTTTTCATGTCAGAATAAATCGGTAATGTGAGTAAAGTAGAAGTGGTATTGTCTTATTCAAGTCTTTTCTTTGGCTGTATAAATTGTAGATATCTTTGCAGCCTCAACCTGAGCACGGTGTCTACACGGTGTTTGTCGAGTTACCCAACTCGAAACTGGAGCTTCTTCATCCTCACGGAGACAACTCGCCCATTAAAGTCCGTTAGAACCCATTGTTCTTCACAAACTGCTTTCGTTGATATGTGTTGAAATTGCTCTGAACGTTTCTTTATCTTATTTATTCACTCTTTTTTTTGCAGTGTTAAATAATGTTTGGTATCGACAAGATTTATCTAAAGCTGTAGTGTGCGCAGGAAAAAAGTAGCCTTAGAACGGTATCTTATACTCAAGGTGGGTATGTTGAAGTAGCACTATTTACATTGCTGCTGTTAAGGGCTTCCTTGACAAAAACAAGGCCGGTGGTATGCATCATATCTGTATTGAAGTCAACAATATTACGAAGGTGATTCATTCTGTAATCTCTTTTCTTTTTCTAAAAAGAGATATTGAGTGTACTGTCCGTCTAGTCTAATCCATTTTCTGCGAAATTTATTGGTCATATACTTACTGACTCTGGTTGTTTTTTCCTACTGAGCACTTACGCTAGGGCCACGTCCTGTCGCACTCGAATGCGCTGAACTTTTCTTCGGTTTCCCTTTAACATAAGCCGTGAGGTTTTCCCTGATCAACGGAAAACTTAGACACAGTGGGTTGGAACTAGTGTAGGAGAAAGCTGATGAAAAGAACGCAATACGTAGATTGGAGACAAAGATTTCTGAAAAAAGATTTTTCCACGTGCTTTTTTAAATTAATTGTCATCATTTTACGTTGTATTCTATTCACTAAATATCAGGCAATGGAAACATGTAAGTCGAAAGGAATCAGAACTCTTGGAGATAAGCCGAAAATTGGCGCTCACGGAAAGGATGTGATTTTCCTACATCCTAAGGACTGCGGTGGTGTCCTGATTGAACTGGAGCAGAAATGAGACGTCTACGAAATTTCTCTTTATAGCAAGCTTATTTAGGGTTTTTTTTGTACAGTCATTTAAGATTTTACAGCCGTCGATTTTCTTTGCTACAAAGCTGTAGACAAGTTTCCATCTTTGTTTCGTCATTAAAATAGCAATCTGTGATGTAAATATTCGGTAAAGGGTGTACGATGTTACAAAAGCCATAATTGATAAGAATTATTTCTTAGTAGGATACTTTCTGGAAATTTTTCATCTGATAATTTCCGACCTAGCTAACTTAACGAGCCTTCTATTGAGTGCTGTGCCTATTGCTCCATTACCTCTAACTTGCTCAGCGAATAATTTAGTCCACTAATTGTTGTACGCGAATATTTTTGTAAACATCACCAGAGAGTAGCTATGTGAAGTGTTCTTTTCTACTTGTTTTTCAAATAGCGGTCGTGGAGTGTAAAAAATACGCAACCAAGGAGTGAAAGTGAAACGAGATGGGAATTACGATTTGGAGAATGAGAGGACGTAAAAGCGAGAAACTGCATTCCTTTTAACAATCCATCATGAATGTTCAGCTTATTAAACGGTTCTTATTAAGGGTGGGCACTTTTGGAAGCAAATTGTTGGGTTCTTCTTGAGATACTCCTTCTATCAGTAGCTTTTAGCACTCATGTATAACGCATAATCCGACGGTAATCGGTTTTGGGGAGAGGAGTAGAACTAGGGTTTGATTTATCGTTTTTTTTCTCGAGACCGTAAATGTGGACTTTTTCGTTTCCTTTCTCAGCAATCACGAGGTTGTTATACAGCAAATTACTTACTTCCAAAGAAAAACTATTACTTACTATTTACTTCCAAAGAAAAATACAATACCATACAACAGTAGCTGACGTTTCGGCAGTATCGCCTTCTTCAGAGCTTGGAAGGGTATAATGATGTGCAATTTACTAGGCCAAACGCTTCAATAACACTTACAAAAAGACGAAAAACTATGGTAATTGCATGCTCAACAGCTCGAAGAACTCACCGCTTTTTTTAAAGATAAGTTTAGGTAGGAGAGAGATAAGTTTAGAAGGAGAGCAACGCACCAAAACGAAATGGCCCAAAGGAAGTTCCATTTATGTTGCTCTTTATTAGCGACGCGACGAAGTAAGGGTAGCTATAAAACGATGCTTGAAAAGGTCAGGTCTAGAGGAATCGGTAGCGATAGTTGAAGTACCACCGGGTTCTCTACGTCGTCAGTCGGTTCGTAACCGCTTGTGGGACCGTCTATGTGAAACAGCAAATTGCGTAATTTGCTCTTACGGCGAGGACGGTGATTGCTTGAGTTCAGGTACGATACACCTGTTCTCTGTTTCACATAGACGGTCCTGGTCTCCTGTGCAAGGATATTGACTCCTGTCATAATTGTGGAGATGAATATATTGGTGAAACGGGTAGACCTTTGTGTATCCGTATAAAAGAACACCTAGATGGCAAACGAAAACTAAGACGAAGCACACCACTAAGGCACGCATAGGATACAAAAGCATAGTGGAGACGATTTTGAAGTAAAAGTCAATATCCTTGCACAGGAGTCCAAAACACCAGCGCGAAAACTTTTTGAGGCTTTTTGACAAATGCCAAAAGCCTACAATGAATAGCAGGGAGAAATGCCCAGAGGTTAAAAGCGTCCTGGCCCCGTATTCGGATTAATTTCTGATGTGCAATGGTGCAGTCATCAACCATATGCGACTATAATCAGCTGTTCCAATCTTCCTCATTGGAAGTCATGTGGAAAGTGGTGAGTTTTTCGAGAAGCTGTTGATCTTGTGATTATCGTTCAGATCCTCATCTTTCTGTTTGTGCTGTTGAAGTGTTTGGCCTAGTAGATTATATATTAGTATACCCTTCCAGGCTCTGAAGAAGGCGATACTGCCCAAACGTCAGCTACTGTTGTATTGTACTGTGTTTTTCTATGGAAGTAAATGTATGCTGTTTAACAACCTCGCGAATGCTGAACAAGAAATCGACGCATCCACATTCCTATGCCGAGGTTAATAGAAAGTCCATCCAGTGGGCTCTTTCTGTTCAATGAGTGGCCGATGTTTCATCTATGTTTCGCTATCGATGTGTGTTTTCCTTCGACCGACATCGAATATCGTAGTATAGAGGAACTTAGCGAGATTAGTAGAGACTGGATTAGTAGAGGTTGTCTTGCTATCGTTCCCTGATGTGTTTGCTACCAGTCCTCATTGCCAGGATGTGCGATTTTGCTTTAGGTGTGGTCCGTAGCGAAGATTGTGTGATATCCATTGTTCTATAATAGCTCTTTTGCACACTCATACTTATTACCCTTCAGCCAGTGTATTGTATCATTTTAATGCTCCACTGGAATAGAGTTGAGATTAAAAGCTATAGTTCTCGGAGAGCAATCAGAACTTTTAGTTTCTATCACTAGTTTCTATGGTTCTCGATGAGAAGCATCGAAACCAAAAGAATCGAGATAGGAAGAAGATGGCTGTACGTTATGTTTTGGAATGAGAATAATGGTCTGGAGTTAATACCAACATATAAACACTATATGATAGATTACGAAATATCCGTATATTATATCCTAGCCGTAACGCTATAAAGCCTTCCGGTAATATAAAGAATAAAACGATAACGCTATTGGCGTTGATCAATTCCTGACGAATGCGCCATGAATTGGGCTTCATCAAGCACCGTCGGAGGTGATTCAATGCATATCTGGCTTTTACAATGACGTGTAGCAGCTTATGGATGCATCGGCTCAGTGCCGCTACCTCCCAGTCATATCTGGCACAAGTTTTGCTGCTTTGGAGAGATAGAAGGCTTGGTGAGCCCGGGGTGCAAGGATCCTATGTGTATTGCAGAGTGCCTCTAAGCACTGTGCTACGAAGCACGTCCTGTAGTACCATATAAAAAAAAAGGACGCTGCAAGGCATTCGTGGTTTTGGTATATCGGTAAGCCTAAACGATATGGTTAGAAAACTTTACTGTGGCTTAGGAATGACGAATGAATTGTTGAGGAAGGCATTTTATGCCGAAATGAAGGCAGCGGAGTGGAACATCTGGAACTCAGAAGACGAAGGTCCACAACACAAAAACCGCTGTGGGCACTCGATTTGAACCAGCACGACTTTGAAGAAGTCGATGTTGCCAAAATGTGATCCACAATAAACCTTTGCAACAGTCTCGTGCTTATCAATAAGCTAAGACATTGATTATCCTTGCCGAGGGTAAACGAAGATCAGTGTGAAGATAATGCCCGTAGTGTTCATTGTGTTCGATGGTTTGCTGCAAATCGATCATTCATTGCTTAATCATCTTCCTCTATGCACACAATGGTAGAGAGAGCGGATCTGTCAACAACAAGTGATTTCTAGAGGGAAATAGGACTGTAAGATCA